GTTTTCCCAAGTTTGAAACAAAACTTTGTACAGACACGCTGCTCTCTCAGGTCAGCCATCGCAAAACCGCAAACTCACGGAAACACAACAATGGAAATACGTTCACCAACAATAAACCCAACCACTCAACTTGACGCCGCTTGCCACACTGATTCAAGAAGGATGTGTGAGGAGACACCTAGCGGTATTTTGATGTACTCATAACCATTCGCACGCAAAATTCAAATTTCGGAAACTTTTGGATTGCCCCACGTAATTTAAAGTAAGCTATGAGAGAAGTAATAAAATTTTGCTTCTTGTTTCTATACTGTCCAAAAACTTACATGTTCTCTTCTGTTCTGTGTCTGTTTGCTGACTGGCGTTTTTATGTATGGATTTCTGGCAGTACATCTTTAATGTTATGATTGAAATTGATCTTTTATTCTAAGAAATACATTACAAAAAGAGGCAGGAAATTGGTGTCTTAGATAGAAATTTTTAAAAGTAAAAAATAATGTGAGAGTGTTTTTATATACACAGTCCTTGTTTATTTATATGTAATTTATTTATTAATATATACAGAAATGAAATATATCTTTGGTAAGTAACAGGTAATACAGGTGAATGACATTTATACTTTCTTAGCATTGCTAGGTTAAACTTTCAAGGAGAATCCTTTGTATACTGTTCTTACATGCATAATTTCCTTTTGCTAGTGGTGTCAGGTCACTTATATATGATGATCTCACAAGGGGTGCTGTTTTCTGCTGAAGCCAGGCTATCTCTTTTGCAAGGCTGCAATGAGTTCACAGGCTTCCTGGTACAGACATGTTACAAGAGACATGAATTTCTAAGCCTGGATGAACATTCATAATCCTCATGAGGTTAAACATATAACAACTGTTGTCCAAGAATTGGATTTTTATGAGCAGTTTGATTCTCATAGATCCAGCCTTTCAGTATTGCACTGGTTAAGAAAAAAATATTATTATTATTATTATTTGCAGCTTTAAATTTTTATTATTTGATATTCTCACAACAGTGGTTATGAAGAGTTGTCTCCACTTGTTGACGTAAACTGCTCGTTAATAAATCAGTCTATATGTTTAAAATATTTATTCTTATGTCTTTTTTTGGAGTATTTATTATTCTTAAATTAAGTTAAAAATGTATTTTGAAATGTATTGCTGTATTATATTGATGAATCACTGTGTGAATGTTATGTTATTTTTTACTTATGTTATTTTTGATGTGAGGTTGTTGATATTTGACATGTCCAATTGTAATTCTCTACAGCTATGGATGAATAAATAATAATAATAATAATAATAATAATCCCAGAAGATAGACTCTTTATAGCTTTAAATTTTATTGTTTGCAATGAATATGCTTTGACCTGCATTACAGAGCCGTTGCAGAACACAAAGATTTATCTTGCCTATGGAAATTACTAGGTGATGCATGCACATTAATAGCACAACTGCCAGATAGCTACTCCTATGTGTGTATCAGAAAATGGATTGCAGATTCTTCATCAGAATGTGAGGAGGAAGGTGAAGTTGTAATTTTGAACAAAGAGAATGTGTTTCAACAAGGAGTGAGGTAAGAGATATCTACGACATGAATGCACTAATGATGCAAAGTTGTAGACTTAAATCCATCTATAGTGGAGTATCCATTTGAGTCTTAAGGAATTATTTTCATCACAGACTCTTCTGTGCAGTTAAACTGACTTCTGTTAATCCTTTCAAGTAGGATGTCAGGAGGTAATAAAAGTAATAACCATTCAAAACAGTAATAAGGTAAAACTGACTGCAAATAGTTGATGCTTTAACCACTCTGCCTTTTAATTTTGCTTTAAATCATGCTGTCAGGAAAGTTCAAGATAATTGGGAAGGGCTGAAAATGAATTAAGGAAATTAATTTGTGGGGTGATGATATGAGTGCCACAAAGGATAATGTAAACATTTTAACAGGCTAGCAGAGAAATTGATTTAAAAGAAAATGTAGGTAAGGGCCACGCCATAGCTCAAGCAGTTAGTCGCTGGCTTCCCATTGCAGTGGCCCAGGTTTGATCCTGGGTCTGGTCAAGTGGGATTTGTGGTGGACAAGGTGGCGCTGGCACAGGTTTTCTCCAAGTACTTCGGTTTCCCCTTCCAATCTTCATTCCACCAATTGCTCCACAATCACCCTCACCTATCATCTGGTGCTGGTACAATAAGCCAGAAGTGGCCGCAGTACAAGGGACTTAGTCCCACCCCACCAGCGATAAAAAAAATGTAGATAAACTAAATATATGAGCATGTCAGGAAACATATGACAACAAAATCATGATATAGCTGTAGGTTATAATTTGTTGGAAAATGTTTTAAGGTTTCAAGCATTTGAGACCAATGATAACAAACAGAAATAAGGGTCACAATGAAATTGTAAGATAGGTGCAGGAAATACTTGTTTTATTCATCCCCCTTTGCTCTCTGCAGCATCAAAGATCAAGATATGTCTATAAAGCGATAACTTTGTCAGTTATTTTCTAATATTCTTATTTTGAGGGAAGAACATGAACTACAGTATTTGAAACTAGAATGCTCAGGAAAATGTTTTTTCTTTAAGTGGCTTATTACTACATAGCAAGGAACTTTCTGAGGTACCCAGGTTGTGTAATATTGTTAGGATAGTCAAATTGCGGAGGTTACAATGGCAAGACATATATCTTTTCATTCATTCATTCATGTTTATTCATCCTGTAGATCAGATTACATTGATATAGGACATGTCACATAATATAAATTATAAAATTAACAAAATACAGTAGATTCTAAACCAGTAAACACTCAAGATATGCAATGACTACTCACATCTAGCATGTATCACAATCTAATATATCACAGTCCATCCATCTTGGATAAGGGAAGCAAGAAATACAGAGATTTGATGTGTAAACCTATTGTGAAGTGACCACTTTGAAGATCAAGAAGAAATGATGAGAGGATAATATTAAGGATATCATAGGTTAAATAGATTTTGAGGATGGGATGTTGATGGACTAGCTCAGGATTGCTTTCATTGTCAGGCTTTCTTATTAGTAGTACTGATTCTTAAAATTATTATACCTAAGATAGCAAAACAAACTTGAAGATGTGTGCTAGTTGAGTAGATCGATTATTATAACTGAACTGGTGGAACTTCCATCAATGCTGTAGTCATGTGCAATTTTTCTCTTCACCGCTATCTTCAGAATCCTGCCTTTTTCCCCCGCAGTAATGCTTTCTTCTGATAAAGATGTTGAAGCGGAGTCATATTTAGAAGTAAGATTATGTGTTCTGACCTTTGAATTGCCTAGGACAACATGAAAAGTAGGGATTTTCACAGCATATAGAAAAAGATATTTTATGAATAGATAAATGTGTTCTCATGATTTTTCTTATACTTCCCTTTCTTAAGGAAGGCATATAGATATACGAGATAACTGCTATTTGTCTCCCCTTCCGTCTGAACCAGTTGACCTTTCACAAAAGATTATGTCAATGTTATGCTGTCAGAAGCCATCCCAATACAGTACTTCTTAATTTGCTTAGAAGATGCTGAACCTATTGGAGAAGCGCGCGCGCGCACACACACACACACACACACACACACACATAAACTAAATGTTTTGTTTGATTTTACAAATTCTGCCTGCAACATGTTTCAGTTCTGAGCACTCAGTTAGGTATCTTTACAAATTAAAGATTGGATTATTGGATGAAACACACCAGAAGTTTCTTTATGGGTTTGAATTTTGTTGAGAGGTCCAACTCTTCCCTAAAAGCTCTAATTAAGACATTAACATTTTCAAAGTTCAGGTTTATGTTAGTTAAATTATTTTGTATGGACCAAACTGTTATCAATGATTACATTTTAACAAAGGCCATCAGAGTGAGTTTGATGGATATTTGTTCTTCTGATTCTGTTTTTGTAGTCCTAGGGAGTTTTCTTTCTTTTTCCATTTTAGCTCATGTTCCTTTTTTATGAGCAAACTTGGAAGATGTATCATAGTATTACCAGTTTTGTCTGAAAATATTTTTATATCTTATGTAGACAGAACGTTAAGTTGTACAATTATTCATTTGTATTTTTTACCAGCCTCTGTATATAGATACAAGCATTTAAAATAAAGTAAGCATCATAACATGTTCAATTTCTTTGTTTTAACTGACTGTTTACACAGGTGTTATTGTCGAGCATTGAGTCTTCGTCCAAACGACAGTCTCATATGGCATGACCTAGCAAATGTTTACCACTTGCAAGCAAATTTTATGAAACCTTCAAATGTGAAAAAACAAATACGAGAATATGCCCTTGCTGCTGTCAAGAGAAGCATTCTGCTGAACCCAAGGGATTGGCAGCATTGGAACTTGCTAGGTGTCATTGCATCGTCTGTAGGTATGGGCTACAAATAGAAGCTAGTCTAACTTGGTATTATGACAAGTAGTCCACTAAAATATATTTTTTCTTTTTTACAGAATTAAGCAATTTGGATCTTGCACAGCATGCATTCATCAAGTCTATACAACTGGAGAAAAATAATGCTATAACATGGACTAACTTAGGAACTTTATATTTGTATTTAAATGAAATCCAATTGGCTCATGAAGCATTCAAAGTAGCCCAGAGATCTGAACCATCCTACATTGAAAGTTGGATTGGCCAGGTGATAGTGATATATAGCATTCTTTATAATTAAAAGCTTTATTTTTTTATTTACTTGTAGCATGCTTGTTTAGAGATGAGAAATGCATACAAAATTTTAGTCAAAACACCAATTTGAAGACTTAAGTGTATGTGACAGGATAATATTAATGTAGGTTTTAAAGAATAGGATGTGGGCTCGATTCAACTTTCTCAGGATGGAGACCAGTGTCAGCTCTTGTGAACATGGGAATGAAACTTTGGGTTCCATGAAAAGTGGGGAATTTCTTGAGTAGCTGCATGGCTACTTCTGCACTTCTCAAGAATGACTGTTCCATGGGGCTAGATTATTTGTTCTTATAATCTTCACTGTAAAAGGTAAAGTTGTCCCTGTGCTCAACTAATTAAGAACTATGCCATGAAGACGTATGGGGGAGTAGATGTATAGATCCACATTTTCTTGACCATGGCACTAGTTGGAGGTGAGTGGTCAGCTTTACACCTCAGCTGCTTTACCTCCAGGGAAATAGCCTCCTGGTACCCATTGTATATGAGGTTGGGTGGACCCCAGAGTTGGTCTGGACAATGTGTAGAAGAGAAAATTCTTGACCCTACCGGGGCTGGAATTCCAACTCCTTGATTGTCCAACCCGTAGCCAGTCTCTATACCAACTACTCTATCCCAGCTCCTAATCTTCACTGTAGTTCTAAAATTAAAATGAGGAGAACCATGTGGGAGGCGAAGACCCACACAGCATTGTAGCATCAGTAATGAGGAAGAAGGATAGAATATATTTATAAACGTTTTATTTCAGGCTTTGGTTGCTGAAAGCATGAATCACGAGGATGCGATGGACTTATTTCGACACACGACGCAATTGGGAATTCATATGGAGAGCTGTATTGGATATTCTCATTGGGTCTGTTCCACTCTTAAAAATTCAGACAATCAGAATGACCCACATTATACATACAGCATTGAGAAGATGTTTGCTGTTCCAGTGGCAGGGGATGCAATGGTCTGGTACACAGGTGGGATTATTGTGAAGTGTTGGAGTTCCATAGAGACGTACTAGGACATTAGCAACATTTTGCGTCATGTTTTACTCCTCCCCCTTCCCCCTTTCTCCAACATTTCATCTTACTATTCTGTTTGTTATATTATAATTTGTTACAGATATCTTGCATATAATTCATCGTTATTTTGTACCATTCACTGTGTCCTCACTTGTCATGTTAAATAATGATATCGTAAAGTCAGGTAACCAGCCTTATGTTGGATAGCCTGCTAAAATGTGTGCCTCCTCAGAACGCCTAGGAATGTTCCGTCACTGTACCAGTCCCATGGGAATGGTTGCTTCTTTAATCTTCTGGAATGGCCATTGAGATCTTTGTTCCTCTTACCCTGAGCATGGGTTCCCTTTATTTGTGTCCTCTGGAGAGAGGATGTCCCAGTATTTAAAATACCTCAGGAATTTAGCTCACTGTTGGTCCATGGGCCATTAGGCCGTTCCTGTAAGGCCTTGTTCTTGCCAACTGCAGTTTTGCCAGTCATAGTTCACCAGCACCCAGGATTGGCAAAAAATTGATATTGTAACGTGTCTCGTTACTGAATACGCCGTAGAAATCGTTAACTGGTTTATTGAACAATCTACAAGTAACAGCTACAATTACTTATCACACAGTTTCGGGGTTTCACACTTTATAACCCAAATCGCATTAATCTGTTACCACTGTTGCGGGGTTTCACGATTTATAACCCTATGCGCAAATCAGCTCACTCTGTCTTCAGTAGTCTACACGTTTACAGTAGGGGAGCTATGTATCACTGTATCACACACTCCCAATTACACAATCACACACACGTCCGGTTCTTCTTTCCGCGACGGCTGCTATACTCCAGCTGTAGTCAGCTGACTGGAGAACTGTTGATGACACACTCGCTAGTAGGCTTGCTTGGAACTATCTTCGGCGATGGCCACGTTACAACTCAACTCGGCGACTGTTACGTTACAACTGACTCGTAGCTGCTGTGCAGTTCCCTTATACAGCCACAGTGGTGCCTGTTCCGTACCACGTCACAGGAGTTGTTGCCTGCTGCCTGGCAACCGCGATATCCCTTGGTGACGTCACCACTGTTGACTCGCGTTGCATAGCTACCAGGTTGCGGGGACTTGGCTAACTTCGGCTCCGCTCGGCTCACTCCGGCTCCGCTCGGCACGTCACCGCGGGGAGAGTGGCGGGGTGATGACTCGCCTATTACGCGAGCGCTACGTTACCGCCATGTGCCGCTGGGGAGGAAGGGGTCCTCCGTTGCGCAACATGTCACAATATATTTAATTTTTAAACAAAGAATTTTCTAGGAATGTTGTGTGACTTGCGGTTATTTCAAGATCATTCACTTTGCCTGCAAGTAAAAATTATTGCCTACCCCATGCACAATGCAAAGTTTTACATTTGTCACTTCTAACATGTTATTAGGCTTGTCATTGTCAGGGAACAAAGGAACTGGTGAGGCATGTTCTGCTGTATTTGGTGTGGCCCCATATGTCCAATGCTTAAAAGGTGGTTTTCTGTTGTTTGTAATTCATCAGTATGAAGACAGAGATATGTAATTTGAATGGCTGTGAAGAACCTTATTCCCCCAGGTAACATTAAAGGGAATGCTTGTGCATATAACATGCTGGGATTCCTGTTGGAGAGACAGCAATTATATCGTGGAGCAGCAGAAGCTTTTGAAACGGCTCTACAGCTGCTGGCAACAGATGAAGACTCTACCCTGAGGGACATAGTGCTGAACAATCATGGAAGGGTGTTGGTTTACTTGCAGCGATATGAAGAAGCCATCTGTCAGTACCAGAAGATTAAGAAAGCTGACTTCATCACACAATGTGGTTTGTCTGTGGCATATTTTAAAGGTAAATATTGTGGTGCAGTAGATGTGGGAACAAAAATATCAGATTAGGATCTTGTTCTGTACAGAAAAAATAATTTGCAGTGGAATAGTATACAATGGCAAGTAGCAACATGAAAGAAACTTTGCAATCATGCAGATTATTGTGCTTTTATACATAATTTTATTCATGCCTTGTTTTCAGCCAAAATGTATGAAGATTCTTATGCAGCTTATGAGACAGCTCTGGAATGGCTTGCCCCTACTGATGGCCAGAAGTCCCATATCCTAGTGGCTATGGCAGCAGTTGCTTACATGTGTCAAGGATTGGAAGATTCTAAAACATTGCTGTTCCAGTGGTAAGAGGTCCAAATTGTAAAGTTGCCTGTATGCAGAAACACTGGCATGCCCATAGCCTATTCTTTGCCTGGAAGACATTGCAAACTGGATAGGTTGAGGTACCATGGACTGCACATACATTACTTCTTCATGACTTCCAGCACATAGAAGGCTTTTAGTAGTGAGAACCTGATTGCACTCTTCTCTTGTATCTTGTTTGTTCCAGGATTAATATGGTCAAAATAATGATTAAGTTAATGTAAATATTTATGCAACAACTAAGTCTAGTAGTGGAACCATGGAATTAACACCACTAGTAGCAGAGCCCACCTTTTTACAGTTTGTCCATCTTTGTCCTCCAATGCTGTTAAGATCCATCTGAGTGTTATCCTTCAATCTGTACTTCAGTCCATCAGCCTTCCTCATCGTAATTCCTTGTTTTTCCCATCCACAGCCACACATCCATTCAGACCATCATAATTTTGATTTCCCTACTCTAACAGTACTGTATGACCTATAGAAATCACAATGTTCCTTGTTATGTAATATCTAAAAATTGACCACCTTTTCATGCCCTGTAAGTCCAAATATTAGTCTGAGTACTGTTTTCAAACATTTGTTATTTATGTTCTTCCCTCAAAGTAAAAACGATTTTTAGAACTGTACAAACAAGTGACAAATCATGTTTTGATAAATTTGATTTATTTCATTCTGGTCCGTCACACTAACAGTATCATAAGAGGTCACACTGGACGGAACTGTTTAATCTCTTATGACATGTTTTGATATTTTATGTTCCTATTTTCAGTATCACATTGAAGCCCCCTTCAGTCCAGGGACTGTTTGCATTCTGTTCACTTGGCATGTTGCACTCTGACCTCACATTGGCAGAACTGGCTCTCAAAGAACTGATTCCATACAGAGACAGCCCTGAGTATGTGTCTCACATTGCTGTCTTCAAGGCTTATACACACTTCTTGCAGGTGAGATTCACAATCACAGTAAACAATGCAGGGAAATTGGAAGTGGAATATACCATCTGCATCATATGTGGTAGCTGAATCAGTAATACTTTGCTTCATATGTCGTAGTTGTGAGGGCTGATTCTTGACTTGAGTTTCTCCACATTCCTGGGGTAAATTGAAGTAATACAGTAAATTAAGCAATGACTATGTCCCTCATCATCATCCTCTAACAGGAATGAGTACCTGCAATCTTCCTGGGGATAACGGGCCGCACATAAGGCCAGTAACTTCACTGCCATTTGAGAGCTGACTGTCTAGAAAATGTGGGAGCCTCGACGTCTCACAACCCCTTGGGCCTCCACAGCCTGTTACAGGGATAGCTTTGCCTTTTTTACCTTCATCCAGTTCATCATTCACAGTAGTTTTCCAATTTGATGCTATGTATGTACCTTATGCAGCTGAGAAAGTGTTAAATAAACTAGGAAATTAATCTTTTATTAGACTTATTCTGTATTGGAGAGTACTGCATTCATACACTCTCTTTAAGATGAGTTATTAAAATGTGTTGAGTTAAAAGATTTTGTTATTTTAGTTATTGGTTAAAATCAAGATTTCTTGCTCTTCATGTTAGCAGGTAGCAGATTTGGACTTTTCCCTCACAGAACCCTCACTGAAGTACAGCAAAAGTGATGGTTGTTAACCTGTAGTATGATTTATAAGTTTGACACATACTGTGAATTGCTATCATGATGATACATTATTATTAGATAGCAATTTAATCAGCCAACAGAAGAGGTTTGAAACAAGATGGAATTGGGCAGCATAAGTTCAAATGTGCTTGATCTGCAGGGTCGCAGTGCTGAGGCAATTCGAGCACTGAGCAGTACAGTTCACAGACATCCTGGAGAACCTTCCTTGTGGTTAGCACTTGCATTGCTTCTGCTGCATTTGTATTCAGAGTGCAAGCCTTCAGGGGCAGCTCGATGTGCGCAAGCTGCTATGGCTCTTGGGCGGAATATGATTGATGTTTCAAAGGTGATTTTACATTTAGTATACTCTTGTAAGAGGTATACATCTACTAATGAACATTAAAATACCATGTAAGATTTGAGGTTTTCACGGCGGTGACTATGAAGAAAGCAGTCTTCTGGGATTTGGCACCGTGTAAATGTGGTGTTAACTGACGTTTCAGAGGGACGTATCACCTCCATCTTCAGGTTCTCACGGTCTCTTCGCTTGCAGATTTCTTATATTTTTCCTTCTGCCCTGAAGATGGAGGCGATATGTTCCTCCGAAACGTCAGTTAACACCACATATACACGGTGCCAAATCCCAGAAGACTGCTTTCTTCATTAAAATACCAGTTTAAGCCTTTGGTTCAAGACTGGCTTAATATATTTGTTCTAATTTTCAGTTTGAAATACATATGTGCACATTTCTAGTGATCAAAGCCTACACTGTTATTCTGAAGGATTTATGATGTTTGGATGGTATCTTTCAGAAAAGAGATCAGGTATTTTTACTGAGCTAAGTTGCTGTGAGCCATATTTGCTGCTGATATACTTGAGCAAAGAACTGTCATCATTTTAAACTCACAACGAAAAAATACTAGTAACTCTAATATCTGAATATTATGTAATGAGCTGTTGGTAGTTCTTTCTGATTACTAAGAGGAAGTGCACAGAGCAAGTTGGTTGAAGTTGTAGCTCTTTTAACTTATATGCAGGAGTAACAGGTTTGAATCTGAGTGAGGATACCAACTATCCTGACCAAGGTTTTTCATGGTTTTTCTGGCCCTCTAGGAAAAGGCCAGATGGTGCCTTATATTAGGCCATGAACTCTTCCTTCCACATCCTTTCCAGTTCATTATTCACCACCATCCTCTCATTTGTCACTATTTAGTCTGAGTTACTACCTGCATCATTAAATAAACTAGAAATAAAAAGACTGAAGGAAAGTGACATTATAACAAAATGTACTCTAAACAGTATGATCTGGGTTGTAATTCCATGTAGTTCCATAGAAGTTCACCAATGTTTTGGAGGAAGGAATTGAACTGTAAAGAGTAGTCACATGCTGCATCACAGAGTCCAGTATATCCGGTTATCAATCCAAAACGCATCTATAGTCACTCTAGCACGTGATTGTTGTGGGTATGATTATATTAGAGGAAGGAAGAACATTTGGAGGTCTTAAGTACAGAGTGGTTTTTATTTTTTTATAACAAGGTAGTTGCTGATTGTTGTGCAGTATGGAGTCTAGACTATTTTGAAGTTATGCTGCTTGTTCATTTGCAGGTGATGTCACTTGTAAGCCTAAGCCACCTACTGTCAGGCAATGCAGTAGAAAGTTTAAGAACTTCTCAGAAGGCTGTGCACATGTTTCCTGATATTCCTGACAACTGGGTAGTACTAATTGCTTCTTTTATGCCAAAGTGTATACACCAGCACTCTTTGGAAGATGCCTTGTGGTTGAAGCGTCTTATTAGCCACGTGCGAAGGAAACTAAATGCATCACGTCAGATGAGCCAGTGGCTGAGTAACCATGAACGTAAAGTGACACTTATTGCAGAGGAATATAGAAATCACTAGTTCTTATTGAGTCTTATGTTGTGATAACAGTATAATTTTTTGTCATCTGATTATGTGATGTTTTAAGATATCTGACATGTAATGGAGGCACCAGCTTCATCTGACTGCCCATCATGAAGTCATATCTGAATTCCTCTCATTCTAATCTTACAACAGGTGGGACAGCCCACAGACTAAAATTGACACTTGTGAATGCAAAATCTGATAATTTCTACTGGAAAACAGCTATTTCATATGTAAATATAAAAGACAAACTCATAATTAGTTTCCAGCCAGATGGAGAAGGTTCTTATAAAATTAAATTATCAAATTCATCCATTTATATTTTTTACATGATACTTATTATGTAGTTTTAAAGTATATATAAAGGAATAATTTTGTTAAAAATAATATTCAAAATCTGCAGGAAGACTTGCTATGAATATGTAAAATGAAATAATTTATTAATTTGTCAGACTTGTTTTGCCCTCATTTTCAAAATGTTTGAAGGGATGCCTTACCATTTCAAGCCCTGGTTTGTGTACAGAGTACCAGGGTACTCTGTACACAAACTGGTATGTTTTGAAAAGCACACACAATAATTAAAAATAAATATTTCATATGTGAAATTTTGGGCATTTTCAGGTCAGTGAATGAAGAGAAGAAAATTAAAGTTTCATATGCATTGAATAAGAATACTGAGAGTAACTCGGTAACCAATAAAAAATAATCAGTTGCGTCACCATACTATTTACACTTCACATAATAAAATTAAAATATATTTTACTTCTTAATAGATATTACTGTAAGGTCAGTGTTTTATTACTGCACTATAACAGACAAGTTACTTTACAGAACTGCAATCCCACACATCAGGATCTGCTTGCTTTTACTTCAGGGGGGATGTAATTATCATCTTCAACCCTTGGCTTCTTCCTCTTGCCAAAGTAACGTCTGCGATAGAACACTTTCTTTCTCTCAATTTCAAGTTCCCACTTTTCTTGATTATCAAAAAAGAAGAGTGTTTCTTCACGTTTTACGAGCGCTTCCTTTTCTAGCTGTACCTTTGCCAGACGCTGCTGCCTTATTAACTCATCCAATTGTTCTTGCAGTAACCTCTGTTTCTGGGTTTCCCATTCCTTGTACACTTTGCACTGTTCTTCAACAGCTTCTTTCTCCTTACTGCTTACCACAGATTTAACTTTATTTACCACTGCTTCATGCAGATCACTGTCAGTGACCAAGCCTAATGAATCAAGTTCTTTAAGGAGGTGCAAGAATTTCCCTTTTAATTGATCTGCACTGGCTTCTGCTTGGGGAAGTTCATTCAGAGTGTCTGTAAACATTTCAACCTGAAACATTTAAGCAGTTACTTAGTAATACCCATGAAAATATATACTAACATGGAATATGTGGTCTTCTCTCAACAGGTCATAATCAGTTGAACAAGAATTTTCAGATTTATGCAGTGCTGAAGATTTTGAGTGTGGCCTTCTGGGGTATGACACTGCAGTGTGGTGAGCAGATCCCAGTATTTTGGAGGAACCTGCCACCTTCATCGTGAATGTGGAGATAGCAGGTTCCTCTAAAATGCCGATAACATCCACCAGATTACATGATGCCATAACCCAATGTAGCTAATCAAGAATTTTATTATGGAACCCAAATGTTTTTTTCACAGAAGCCCACCATTTAACCATGTCCTAAATCAGTTGAATTTACATCCTCATAATCTATTTATTTACATTATGTTCTAATATTACCCTTCCAGCCATATGAGTGATACACAATTTCAAGCTGCAACTCGCATCAGGGTTAAAGAAATATTCTTTTATTAATATTTTGTGCCCCTTTTTAAGGTCCAAAATTATGTATGAATAATAACTGATGAGTTTAGAGACAACTCGCCTGGTACGGTTACATACTCGTACATGTATGGGCTCATGAAAGAATTGTCAAAAATACGAACTTAAAACCAAACTTAAACATGGTATTTATTCAAGCATCATGTTGCATCCACACATTATATAATTATTTATTTTCAGTCTTATTAATGCAACATTTCTAAATGTTACAATAGCTGTCTATTGCCACACACACATTTCATTCGCTTGTTCTCGTTAAAAATACTACATGTTTCAGACTTACATGGCCACTCTTATATATGATATGTCATAAGTTTTTCCACTGTATTTTTCTACTGAGGCACCACTTAAAAATGATCAAGTGTTCAGAGTTAAAAATTTTTAAGGTTAAAATTAATTAAAGTACATTTAAAACTGAAGCGGGCCAAGTCCTCCACTTTACAGGATGAACACTATGTATAATGTACTTGTCATATGCAGGTAGCCACTGTAGTGTTATATTATTAAAGAATTTTTTCTGTGTATACACAGTTTCCCTCAACCCAGTCACATTCTTTCTTTCCTCCAGAGCTCTCAATATAGTTATGTTTGTCAGTATATTGCATTTGTTGCGTATGGTCTTCTTAACAGTGAATGAAAAATGTCCCTTGTAGTTGAATGATTGGTGTGCCCCAGCCTATGTAGATCTTGGTGCACTTATGTTGTCACTGGTACATGTTTATTTGGTGTGGTGTTTGTGCTTGATGAGTGAAGACTTTCAGCTTTTGATTAACTTTAATTGATGCTTTGCTTGACACGACAATAAAGTGAAAGAACTTCATACATATGAGATACCTGAGGATGGCCATGTAAAGCTCAAACATATATTAATAATGAGAATAAGTGATTGAAATATGACTGGACTGTGTTGAAATAACCATTCAGCTACTGAAGCACTTATGAAAGTTACTTTAATGAGACTGAGATATGTATTGTTGTATTGTAATTTATTGGAGAGGGTGGGTTTCCCCATGCACTTAGACCATCTGTTGGTCCATTGTGCATCCCCCTATGATATTCTACCAGTCTCTATTCCCTACCGGTACTAGTGCGTGCCATCAGTCCCGACTCCGCCAGCGAGTTCGGCCTCTACTGGCTCAGCGGTATCTCGATGCTTCCCCCATCTACCAGAGGTGTTAGAGACTACCATTGGGCGGGAAATGTCCTCAGTGGTCCCCTTGGGACATGAGGTTCTTTTATGTGCCGTAAAGCTACGACACGGGACCCACGGCTTAAAGTCCCTCCCGGAGGACTTGTTCCCTGAATTTTTCCACCCTTAAAAATTCCACGACCACCTCCAGGTTTGAACCCGCGTACCTTGAGTCACGAGGTGGGAACGTTACCCCTAGACTATGGAGGCCACTGACTGAGATAAGTAACTAAACATGGTAGTTTCTCCATGCCAAATATAATGGCTATAGCATTGCAACATAATCTCCTAGCCTTATTTGTGATAAAGGGGTCAATATATGAATGTGAAGTGAAATGCTGTAAGAGATGCATCTTCTTGCATTCCATTAACTACACACATTCATACCTAAATGGCTCTGAATACTGGTTCATGAACATGCACAGCCTCTACAATTTAATAGTGTGAGTTTGTGCACAAAGTTACAGAAAGTGAAACATACTCCTTCTCTGAACACTGCAGGTTTCTGCTGTCCTTTGAGGATCTGTTCTAGAGTCCTAATAGCTTTGTCCCATTTCTGGTACATCCCCCAGCCAACAAGTTGGTATGTCCATCCTACAGGATCAGGAAATGTAGCACCAAGGGTGGCTAACGTCTTTCCAACAAGCAGCTGTGGATCACGCAAGTCAAAGTGATCGTCAAAGTAAGGGTTGCGTAAATATTTCACCCTCACTTTAACCTGTAAAATAAAATATTAGCAAGAATTCCATAAATATTCAATATCACTTGGAGTCAATACTGACTGCACACAATCTTTTTTTTTTCTCCCACATTATATCACGGGGAATATGGCAGCAAAGCATGGATCTTAAAGAGGACAGAGAAGACTAATTAAAGACAAAAGGTTATAATCCTTCCAGCAATAAAAAATGTAATGTCAAATTACAGACATTTTATGTGATAACAGAGAATTAGAAAATAAGAAAGAATGGATTACAAGAATGAACTCCTAGATTAAAAAAGCATAAAACATCAACTTAGGAGGAAGAAATGGCCTGGCAGAGCTCTCAAGAGATTTGTAGATTCTGTTATTAATACCCATACCAGGCCTTCTGGGCCTAATACTGGAAAAGATTATGTCAATGTTTGCTATCGTTTGAATGAAGCAAATGGTTTGATGCAAACTTCCACACCAAACTGAGCTAAACAAAAACAAATAAAGATACAAGCTATCCACCCAACTGCTGTATTGCAAATTCTGTCTCAGTTTGTCACAGAAATATTAATTTCTTTTAAGAGAATGAATTCACAACATAACATTTTCAAGATACCCAAGAATATGTGAAACATATATGAATAATTAGATGATACACAAGCCCAAAGTTGGGAACTTATGATACTTGGAGGAATTCTCCATACCATGACTGAGTTTTCATGCTCCATAGTATTCGGCCAGAAGGACTGTCGGGAAAAACACGAGAAATACATTTATTCTCCAGGGTTTGCTCAAAACTTGAGACAGATCACAGGGTGCTGGTGAGCTATAAGTGTAAACCCCTATTCAGCACCATACAGTATGAGAACAGGAAGTGCTGAAGTAAACTGGAGGAACCAGGAAGAAACACAAAGATCTCTTGTATGTAGTAACAGGAGGCAAAAATGTGTATACAGAAGAAATGCAGAACTTGTTCTAATTACCCAAATTATATTTTAACCCTCATCAGCCATATGTCACACTACTGCAGCACAGCACTGCCCAATCCAGCTGGCTGAGGGCTGCATTTTTCAGTACTATTACCATTAACCCCAGGTTAAAAATGTGGCCAGACCTGTAGAAGCATGAGATTTCAAATCGCCATTCCCTGATGATAAAGATTATAGTTACCATTCTGAAGCAACCCTGGGTTCTATAATTTTGACATATATTTGATTAATACACACCTCTTCACCGTCATCTGGCTCGTGTACATCAAGTGGGTCGTCCCAACTTCCAGGGTTTTTAAGATACATGTGACAGGAATATAAAGCAAGATGTGAGGTGATTGGGTGTGACCAGTCTTCTTGCAACATCTGCAGTACACTCACCTTGGCTGCAGCTATACCATGAAAAACAGTAATATTGGTATAGCTATACATCGATGCCAATCTCACTTTAATATGGTAAACCCTGTTTCAAAATGAGGCTCTGCTGCCCAAATCAGCATGGCATAATTTTAAAGTCAGTAGTGAAGGAAATGCCACTGCCTTATTCCAGAAGAACCAAGCCATGGCAGTCTAATTATTACATCATGTGTCAAGGAAATAACACTACTAAAATGTAGTTTATGCTTACATCTTAAAAAAGTGTCTCATTTGCTTAATGTGATAACAGTCATGAGGACCACTGCATTTAAATCAACTTTAAACCAGTTCATTTGTAATTAAATATTATATAAAATTCCATAAATGATAAAAAGAACTAGGCATGACAGTTTAGTCTATGACATTATTGATAGTATTCTACACCAGTTTATGTAGATTGGTTGCAAAATAGTAATGGTAATGTAATCAGTGTATTTTCTTGATATGTGAATTTGAAATGATCTTAATCTTAGATTAAAGCAAATATCCTACACTACTTACTTAACTATTTAACTGATGAATTCAATTTATATTCGAAGCTACATCCATGAAGAGAATAACTCTGGGAGCCACTATTTAGTAAATAAGCAGCAATGTAAGGAGACGGTGGCGACATTATGACTACATAACACATTGCTATTACAATTGTGCTATATCTGTTATGATGAGCACTTGTTAGAATGTACAATATAACTACTACAATAATAGGCTTCCACTCTAATTGTAATTTATTCAGGCAGAACTTTTTATAAATGATCAAGGGTCAACAAAATCTGACTATTCAGCAGTAAAATAAAAAGATCACTCCTTATGTATTTGTATATTTTATGAGTAAAGTGTAATATTAACACTATAATTTTGTACTTATGGAAAAACAGGAGAGGCAGGGTAGTGATGGGCTGGACGGCCATTGAATGAGGGTTCCATACCAGTATGGAAAGATTTTTTTTCCTCCACAGTCTCCAGACCGGTTCTGAGGCCCACCTAGCCTCTTGTCTAATAGGCACCAGGGGCTCAGTGGCCAGAGTATGAAGCTGACCACTTATTTCCATCTAGTGCTGAGGCTAATATATGGAGCCATACCTCCATTCCCCATACATCTTCATAGTATGAAACTTAATTAATTAATTACAAACAATTTTACCTTTTGCCATGGGGAAATAGTACAGCATATTTGTTGAGCCTTGTAGATAGAGATACTTCGTTTATAATCTTTAGTAGTATTTATGTTATTGCATAAAAATGCAGAATGTTATGCTAAACCAGCTGAATCTAGTCCACACCTTCACACTCTAGTTCTCTATGATTCATTTTAATATCATCCTCCTACGTATGAGGTGCATTTTAGAAGTTTCTTAGGCCGTGCCATAGCTCAAGCGGTTAGTCGCTGGCTTCCCACCGTGGCTGCCCACGTCTGATCCCAGGTCTGGTCAAGTGGGATTATTTGTGGTGGACAAAGTGGCGCTGTGGCAGGTTTTCTCCGAGTACTTCGGTTTCCCCTGCCAATCTTCATTCCACCAATTGCTCCACAATCACCCTCACCTATCATCTGGGGCTGGTACAATAGGCCAGAAGTGGCTGCATTACAAGGGACTTATTCCCACCCCACTAGCAATAAAAAAAATAGGAGTTCCCTGTATGCCAGCACCAGCATGTAACTGTCTGCACAAAATATATTCTAGAATATGTCTCTTCCAACCTGTGTAATTGTTTTCCTTAATGAAAGCATCCATAAGTAAACCACAACAGTAGTCGTCTGGGAAAATTCCATAATTTAATCTGTCATTAAGAATATGAAGAAGTTCATCATATTTTCTCAATGAAAGAAAGTAGCGAATAACTGCGTGTGATGTAGAATGCAGCATATCTGTTGTGTTTGGACTTAGTCGTAATTTGTGAAGCAGTTCTTCCAGGTCATTTGCGTAAGACTCGTCCCTCACTGCATTTGCAAACTGGAAACAAGAATAGTAGTCTAAAATGTCATGAAAAAAAATGTGGACCATTCTTGCAGATAACCTACAACTCCTAACAGAAGTGTGTCACTGCTGAGAAGTATGGAGTGTGTTGATGTCCAGAGTAGACATGCAAACTCAGGCGAACATGGTCCTGATCATATGAACATAGACTGTAATTTAAAATCTTGATTGGGGTGTGGATAGGTGTCTATGTTTATTGATACAGGCACAGGAAGTACAATGGACCCATCCTCTACTATGGAATCCTACTAAATAATATAAATTAATTTCACATGCAACACTATGTTTTATAATATTTATTAAAATATATTCACTTTAAAAGTTTATCACTACATGTTTCGACCAATGTGGTCATCATCAGGTGTTAAAACTATTGGGTGAGGAGACTCTGTCTTCTGTTTCGCTGCTAATCTTGTTAAGATATAAGTTCCCTCGATGAGCATGTGTGTTTGAGTTGGTATGTGGTTTCATACGGAACCACAGGCAAAATTATAGTTTTGTATATTCTAATTTTTATGTTTTTGGACAGCAGATGAGAAGACAAAAGGTTCTGGACTGAATGGTAGCAAGCATTACCCGAGTTCAATCTCCTCTTAATTTCCTCCTGAATCATATTTTGATGTGTTATTGTCGTTCTCAAATATTTGAACTGTGCCACATTTTCAAACACCCTGTTATTTAGAGAATTTAAATGACTTGATGAATATTATTTTGTTTACACAGATTATGTAGGATCAACTGAAATGTCAAAAATTATCATGAATTAAGGGTTTGGAATGAACGTCCTAGGCTACTTCAAGTATATTCATCAAGAGAGACAATGAAGAAAACCACAAAAATCTGTCCAAAGACTCAGTAACCTGAATGAGAGTCAAACAGGTACCTCATGAATACAATTTCAGACCATTCTCATTACACAACTCTTTGACTTTATTAGCCTTCTGTTGCATTACCATGTCAGTCTATGCGCACAGTACAGCTACCGTCGCACTGCAATACTGTTATGCCAGAGTTAAAATACAAATGCCAGCCCTACATGCAAAACTTAATATACCCTATTCATGGATGATAATGTGTTTGCTAAATCCAAATATGGATGCCAACCCCACAGCAGCAAGAAACATGAAATCTGTATTACCAGGCAATAAAGATTAATCTCATGATGAAAGTGGTCAAACCCTTGTAAAATGGAAAACTGGAACATTTATTTATACACAAACATACCACCAGCACTTGATATTCTATTTATAAAAACATTTGATAACTTGCACTATTTTACTGTATATTATGAACACAGAAAAAGAAACAGAAAAACCCATATTCCTTAATTTTGAATTACTTGATTGATCCTCCTTCATTTGACCAGTATTACAACCACACTTTGCTTTTAAAAAATGGCTTAACTAGTAAAACACATCTTACCAAATCAATGTCAATAGCACTTGCTTTCCCCACATTTTGAAACCTGCTGTCCAGTTCTTGGTACATGTCATCTGAAAGAATACAATATAAAACGATTTTACCTTGCATGTGCTACAAGCCAGAAGATTGCAGGTTTGGGTCACTGGATTTTTCAATTAATCTAATCCTTCCAGCCACACTATGGCCCTGGGGTCAACTCAGCCTCTAAACAGAAATGAGTACCAGGAATCTTCCTGGGGGTAAAGGGCAGCTGGCAGGTAAGACTGACAACTTCACTGCCATATGTGAGATGACTGTCTAGAAAATGTGGGAGCCTCAACATCTCATAACCCTATGGGCCTCCACTGCCTGTTACAGGAATGCCTTTACCTTTTTACCAAATAATTTATATATCAGCATGTATTTATGCAGTAGCACAGAATTTATTCAGTATCTAAACAGTGAAAAGAACTGACTGGATTATGGTTAATTAACTATTCAGTATCATTTGTTACGTTATTCAACCTTGAACAATATGAAGGGTGATTATTTCTTTTGAACTGTAGGAGATGAAAAGAAAGCAGTTATTTCTGGTACAGTGCTCTGAAGGACACTAGAAATCTATGAAACACCTCAGCCAGAGAGAACAATGCTCTAGTCAAGATTCTAACTGTATACCTGCCAAACAGGAGCCAGATGTCTTTCCAATGAGCCAGCCTTAGCGAGGGGTAGACGGCACCATGTAAATTGCAATTTTTGGATTTTGCTAATTGTTTTATACATGAAGAGCACATATTGGTTTATGGTGTATCAAAAACGTGAGTTAAGGACTGAAGAGCAAGGGTGAATACATTTTTAAGCACTTGTGTGATATATTGTCACATGTTGGGTGTATGTCACGTGACAAGTAACTTCACGCCTTATTTGATATAGCGAATTTATTGAACACTCGCTCCCACAATCACACAATTTACATTCTCACAATTACTGCCATCCGCAGTATCACAAATACTTCTCCTGTAGTCACTGTCATGCACTCGATACAACCTGACTCGGCGACCGCTAGTTTGCATTGACTGGTTAATCGTTACTCACTTGTAACTGGCTCAATCCTCACTCACTACTAACTGAACAGAATTCGCTGCTCCTTATTTAGCCTCGGCACTGACAACACAGAAAAAAATTACGTGACAGGTACCACTGTTGTCTGACGCTGTGTTTACAGGTTGCCTAGCAACACTGCTGAGAATTGTTTACTGCTCTGTAGCAACCGTGGCATCCCCCGTTACATCACTCTTGTCACCTGCCACGTCACCGCGGGGGAGGGGGCGGACCGCTGACCGGCCCATCACCGTAGCAGCGGCAGCGCTATTACGCCACCGCTGGCAGGGGAGGGGGCATCCTGCATAGCGCAAATACGTCATAATATTGACAATTAGATTTTATTAAGTTGCCAGTAGATTTACATAGTATTTATGGAGCCCTGAATGTAAGTATTGATAGGAAATATGTCCAAATGTCACAATTGAGCAGATAAAACTCCTACTTCATATATGGGATGTCGCGGGTCTGAATCCTGGGCCAGAGACTAGCTATCCTAATTGAGGTTATTTTATAGTTTTTCTAAGTTTGTCCAGATGCCACAACTGTATCAACAATTTGGACAAGACTGCTTCCTTGTACATCCTCCCCATTTCAATATTCACTAACCATTTTATTTGATACTCTAAGTTACTGAGAGCATTGCTAAATAAAATGTAAACAAATAAGTAAGGCCATATGTCATACTACATAATGAGAGACAATATTTGGAGTATCTTTTGTTTAAAATATTACATGCTACTTAGATAAACGTCTATGAAAATGAAATGAATATAAACATTATTACCTTTATGGAAACTACTTTTAGATGCTGATTATCCTCATGATTTAACTGTCAAAGAATTATCCAACAAAATCACCATCATGATGTGAAAAATATCATGTTACACTCATGTACCATTATGGATCAACAGAAATTAAATAAATAAATTAAAGCAAAAGAGCTCATCAGTGTCAAGACTGAGGAAATCAAATGCACACAAAACCAAAGAGCCTTGCAGCTTGTTCTGTTATAATAAATACTTCATAAAATTACATGATAGGTAAGAATGTTTATGGACATTAAAACATAAAATAATTAATGTTATATTTTAGCGCCCTGTTGCACTGATTTAAGTCCATGATTTATTTAATCCGTCTTGCAGTGCATACACTCATTTATCTCCTTCTCTCCCTCGCACTACATGTTTCGGCATAATAATGCCATCTTCAGGTGCTTACTTATCCACGTCAAACCAGTTCATTGCATGCCATGTTCACACATTAAAATAACTAAAATATGTATCTATCATATACATTGTCAAACGTTAAAAATATTAAAATTGTTCAGGATACCACATCGCTACGTCGCCCCTCACTACGTCAGTCACGCCCATTCTCCTTTGTTGGAGCATTCCTTCATTATCTTGTGTGTCTGTAAATTTTTAATTTTTTTAACGTTTGACAATGTATATGATAGATACATATTTTAGTTATTTTAATGTGTGAACATGGCATGCAATGAACTGGTTTGACGTGGATAAGTAAGCACCTGAAGATGGCATTATTATGCCGAAACATGTAGTGCGAGGGAGAGAAGGAGATAAATGAGTGTATGCACTGCAAGACGGATTAAATAAATCATGGGAATAAAATAGTTATTATTTTTAACCTTTATCACATGAATGAAATTGCACGTAGTTTCCAAGGCAACGTGTTCATTATTTCACATATTCTTTTAAGCATTTGAAGCACTGTATGTTCAGAGTACAAAGTACCTGATACACTTTAAGGAAATTTGTAATAACACTTTATACTCCTATTTTGCTGCTTTAGAAATCAGTGGGCACAGGCCCATACAATTTCCTGGTTGTGTGATGTCACCAGTTGTGTTATCCCATTTAACTTGGTAAATACATACTGCATGCATACAGACAGAATGAAGGTAGAGTCAAATTTTATAGCTATCCCTGTAACAGGCAGTGGAGGCCCATTGGGTTGTAAGACATCAAGATTCCCACATTTTCTAGACAATCACTGTCACATATGAAAATGGCTTGAAAAATGACGAAATAACACAATTCTTTTTCCAACTATTATCCTTCTAAACTTCTGGCTTAACACTTAGAAACAGAATATACTGTACCCATCACTGAAGGAGATATAAACACATATGAAATGTTGTACCTAATTTTATATTCTGCAGAGCAGGACTCTGTAGTCTTCTTTCCCAGGCTTCTTGACATCTGTAAGCATCAGACAGGAACAGTCTTTTGCCTGCAACAAATACAATTAAAAATTTATCTGATACAGCTTCTTCCATACACCAAACTGCATACTGAAGGATCTGCTCTGCTCTGTTATGGTTTGTGTGACCACACATAGTATTCATAATTCTGGCCTCTGCACACCTGGCCTTCTTTAAGACAGTTAAGATGAAAATGGTGAGTTGATACCTAATATCTCACAGTCACAAAATTTTCATTCTGTCGGTACCAACGGTAGTAGGAAGGGCATGGAAAAATCTATGGTACATTTCACATGTCTTTGTGCACGGAGGACCAGAACCTTGATTCTGACCTGTAAGTCCCTGCACTGTGCTCTGATTTGTATTGGGTTAGACCCAACCTGCCAGACACTATAAAAGAACATCATGTTAGTGAACAGAAGACCAATGTTTTACTTGCTTAAAGTATTCTCTCACCATCCTCATCAGAAGATATCACATGTTTGCATTTACCTCTAATAAATAAGACCATATTACAGAAAGAAGGGATTAAATCTACCCTGTCTTAATGCAGAAGCAGTGCCAAGATGGAAGAACATATTGACACTATATGATGGGAAGTCGTAATGTTTTAATTATCACCATGAGAAAATCATAATTCCAAAATATTGATCTATATAGGAGATACCCTATTTCCTAAGCTTCCTGTGCCAAGTAGGCAGAGGGAGCAACCGAAGAGACAGAAGCAAAATGTGTGATGTTGGTTGGTAAAGTGGAGGCTCGCGCTGTGATATGGTTCAAGCATTTGCAAGGGAAGTCTGCCAGAGATATCCACAACCAGATGACCTCTGTGTATCTGGAAGGTGTACCATATGACACAGTGGTCAGGTGGAAGAGGCTCTTTCATTGTGACAGACAACCTTGGAGATGAACCCCAAAGTGGAAGACAATTTCTTGCTGAGGAACCAGAATTGTGGCACGGGTGGAAGCTTTGATCCTATCCAATAGGCAGATTACTACGAGGGTCATACTGAAAGTCATGAGCAACAATTTTTTGTGAAGTAACATGGTTTATTACTGACAAACCAAATACGAGTACACCACCTCAATCTACAGACTTTTCTCTATTTTTCCACATAATAGCCACTTCTTTGTATGCATTTCTCCCAGCGTTCTGGGAGTTTGAAAATTCCACTTCCGTACAATTCTGTTCCAGCCATCCGAAGACACTGACGCACTGCTTTCTGAATTGCCTCCCTCATCTCAAAACGTCTACGCAGCTGATCCTTCACAAATCAGAAAAGACGGTAGTCGAAGGGTGCCAGATCAGGGCTATAGGAGGGGTGTGGAAGAACTTCCCACCCCATCTTTGCAATTGCTTCCAATGTGAGGCGAGCGGTGTGGGGGCGAGCGTTGTCATGCAGTATGATGATGATGTTTCGTCCCAGACGTTTATCGCACAATGAACGACGGAGCTTGTGCAGCGTCTGGACATAAC